TTGGCAGTGGATCCGACCCACAAGCCGGTCAAACAGAAGAAGCGTTTCCTTTCCTCAGAACGGAGAGAGTTTGTCACCAAGCAGGTGACCACCCTGCAATCCATTGGGCACATCCGGGAAGTCCGCTACCCGGAATGGTTGGCAAATGTAGTCCTCGCACCCAAAGGGAATACCTGGCGGATGTGCGTCGATTACACTGATCTAAATAAAGCTTGCCCGATGGATCCTTTTCCTCTCCCCAACATTGATCAGTTGGTTGATGAGACGGCAGGATGTGAGCTGATGAGTTTCATGGACGCATTCAGTGGGTACCATCAGATCAAGATGGCAGTGGCGGATGAAGAAAAGACCGCTTTCATCACCCCCAATGGGGTATACTGTTACAAGGTGATGCCTTTTGGTTTGAAGAATGCTGGGGCGACCTATGCACGGATGGTGAACAAGCTGTTCGCGCCGGTACTAGGGGGGTGCATGGAAGCATACGTGGACGACATGATTGTCAAGTCCAAACGGACGGAGTCTCATGCTGGCGACCTGGAGAGAGTATTCAAGATCATGAAGAAGTTCCAGCTTCGCCTTAACCCCAAGAAATGCACATTTGGGGTGCAAGGGGGTAAATTCCTAGGACATATGGTCAGCCGGAGAGTGATCGAGCCTAACCCGGAAAAGGTAAAGGCGATTTTGGAGATGGAGCCTCCACGAAATGTAAAGGAGGTCCAGCAGCTCACCGGCAGGATTGCTGCTCTCAATCATTTCTTGTCAAAGATAGCTGATCGAGCGGCTCCTTTCTTTCAGACCATTAAGAAGAGTAGAGGGTTCGTTTGGACCGAGGAATGTCAACGGTCTTTTGAGGGGTTAAAAGCATATCTCCTCTCCCCACTAGTGCTTTCGAAGCCAGAGCCCGGAGAGACCTTATTCCTATACTTAGGAATCTCTCCTCGAGCTGTGAGCTCGGTGCTTGTGAGGGAGGAGGAGGGCGCACAGCGACTTGTGTACTATGTGGCGCGAGTGCTGCGAGGGGCGGAGTTGAGATATACCAACATGGAGAAGACCATCTTTGCGGTAGTGTGTACGGTGAAAAAGCTCACCACATATTTTCAAGCCCATCCGGTCCATGTGTTATCACAAATTCCCATCGGAACGCTTCTTCGAAGCCCAAATGCCCCGTCACGGGTCAACAAGTGGGGAGTGTTCCTGGGATCCTTTCAAATAGAGTTCAAGCCGCGACCGGCGATAAAGGGGCAATCATTAGCAGATTTTGTGGTAGAATGCACTGCGAGAGAGGTAGAATCTAGTGGAGAAAAACCCGAGGGGAATTGGTGGACCGTGTACACCGATGGGTCGTCCGCGACTGATGCTTCGGAGGGAGGTGTCGTGGCGATATCTCCGGAAGGGTTCAAGGCATACTACTCCGTGAGATTCCAGTTTAAAGTCTCAAACAATAAGGCTGAATATGAGGCACTGTTTTGCAGCAGATCATCACTCACAATAGAACCCAATTCGAGGCCGGAGGGTTCAATGAGTTTCTACAGAGCTGGGGCATAAAACACAGCTATGCAGCGGTCGGGTACCCACAAACCAATGGGCAGGTAGAGAACACCAATCGTACCATCATGGATGGCCTCAAGAAGAAGATAATGGAATGCAAAAGTGCCTGGGTGGAAGAAGTGCCCTATATTTTGTGGACCTACAGAACTACCCCAAGG